AATGAAGAAAACTACAAAAAAGATCAGTGAAACAAAAAGTTGGTATTTTGAAAAGACAAACAAAATTGGCAAACCGTTAGCCAGTCTGAGAAAAAAAGAGAATAAATAAATAGATTCAGAGATGAAAAATGAGACATTACAACTGATACCACAGAAATTCAAAGGATCATTAGAGGCTACTGTGAGCAACTATATGCCAATAAATTGGAAAAGCTAGAAGAAGTAGATAAATCCCTAGACACATACAACCTACCAAGACTGAACCATAAAAAAAATCCAAAACCTGAATAGACCAATAACAAGTAACAAGATCGAAGCCATAATAAAAAATCTCCCAGTAAAGAAAAGCCCTGACCTCAGTGGTTTCACTGCTGAATTCTACCAAACATTTAAAGAAGAGTTAATGCTTTCGAAATTCATTCTAAGAGGCCAGTATTGCCCTGATACCAAAACCAAACACATATCAAAAAAAGACAACTACAGGCCTATATCCCTGATGAACTTTGATGCAAAAATCTTCAACAAAATACTAGCAAATCAAATTCCACAACACCTTAAAATGATCACTTATAATGATCAAGTAGAATTCATCCCAGGGATGCAAGAAGGATTCAATATATGTAAATCAATCGATGTGATGCATTATGTCAACAGAATGAAGGACAAAAACCATATAATCCTTTCAACTGATGTTGAAAAAGCATTTGATAAAATTCAGCATCACTTTATGATTTAAAAAAACTGGGTGTAGAAGTAACACACCTCAACATAATAAAAACCATATATGAGAAACCAACAGCTAGTATCATATTTAATGGGAAAAAACTGAAATCCTTTTCTCTAAGATCTGGAACATGACAAGGATGCCCACTGTCACCACTGCTATTCAATATCGTACTCAAAATCCTGCTAGAGTAATGATACAAGAAAAAGAAATAAAGGGTATCCAAATTGAAAAGGAAGAAGACAAATTATCCTTATTTGCAGATGATATGATCTTACATTTGGAAAAACCTAAAGACTCCACTAAAAAACTGTTAGAACTTAAACAAATTAAAGCTGCAGGATACAAAGGCAACATACAAAAATCAGCAGCATTTCTATATGACAGCAATGAACAATGGGGAAAAAGAAATTTAAAGAGTAATTCTACTCATAATAACCACAAATAAAATTAAATACCTAGGAATCAACCAAAGAAGTGAAGGACCTTTACAGTGAAAACTATAAAACACTGATGTAAGAAATTGAAGAGGACACAAAAAAAGGGAAAGATATTTTATATTCATGGATTGGAATAATCAATATTTTTTAAATATCCTTAATACTCAAAGCAATCTACAGATTTAATGCACTCTATCAAAATACCAATGACATTCTTCACAAAAATAGAAAAAACAATTCCAAAATTTATAGGAAAACACAAAAGACTCAGAATAGCCAAAGCTATCTATCCTAAGCAAAAAGAACAAAACTGGAGGAATCACATTACCTGACTTTAAAATATACAACAGAGATAAGTAACCAAAATAGCATAGCACTGGCATAAAAGCAGACACATAGACCAGTGGAACAGAATAGAGAACCCAGAAACAAATGCATATATCTGCAATGAACTCATTATCAACAAAGGTGCCAACAACATGCTTTGGGGAGGGGACAGTCTCTTTTATAAATGGTGCTGGGAAAACTGGATATACATATGCAGAAGAATGAAACTAGATCCCTATCTCATGCTATATAAAAAAATCAAATCAAACTTGACTGAAGACTTAAACCTGAGACCTCAAACTGTGAAATTGCTAAAAGAAAATATTGGAGAAACCCTCCAGGACATTGGACTGGGCAAAGATTTCTTAAGCAATACCCCACAAGCACAGGCAACCAAAGCAAAAATGGTCACATGGGATTACATGAAATTAAAAAGCTTCTGCACAGGAAAGGAAACAATCAACAAAGTGAAGAGACAACCCACAGAATAGGAGAAAATATTTGCAAACTATCCATCTGATAAGGGATTAATAACCAGAATATATAAGGAGCTCTAGCAACTCTATATGAAAAAATCTAATAATCCAATTTAAAAATGGACAAAACATCTGAATAGACATTTCTCAAAATAAAAAGATATGCAAAAGGCAGACAGGTATATGAAAAAGTGCTCAACATTATTGATCATCAGAGAAATGCAAATCAAAACTACAATGAGATATCATTTCATCCTAGTTAAAATGCCTTTTATCCAAAAGACAGGCAATGACAAATGCTGGTAAGGATGTGGAGAAAAGGGAACCCTTGTACACTGTTAATGGGAATGTAAATTAGTACAACCACAATGGTGAACAGTTTGAAGTTTCCTCAAGAAAACTAAAAGTAGAGCTATCATGTGATCCAGCAGTGCCACTGCTAGGTGTATACCCATAACAAAGGCAATCGGTATGTTGAAGAGATGTCTGCACTCCCATATTTATTACAGTGCTATTCACAATAGCCAAGATTTGGAAGCAACCTAACTATCCATCAACAGACAAATGGATAAAGAAAATTTTTTACATGTACACGTGGAGTACTATTCAGCCATAAAAAGAATGAGATCCTGTCACTTTCAGCAACATGGATGGAACGAGAGGTCATTATGTTAAGCAAACTAAGCCACGCACAGAAAGACAAACTTTCCATGTTCTCACATACGTGTGGGAGCTAAAAATTGAAACATTTGAACTCATGGAGATAGTATAATGATGGTTTCCAGAGGCTGAAAAGGGTAGTGGGGGAGTTGGAGGAAGGGGAAGTGAGGATGGCTGATGGATACAAAAAAATAGAAAGAATAAATAAGATCTAGTATTTCCTAGCACAACAGGCTGACCATAGTCAATCATTATTTAATTGTACATTTTAAAACAACTAAGAGTAAAATTGATTTTTTTTGTAACACAAAGGATAAATACTTGAAGTAATGGATACCCCACGTACCTTGATGTGATTATTACACATTGCATGCCTGTATCAAAGTATCTCATGCACCCCATAAATATATACACCTACTATGTACTCACAGAAGTTAAAAATTTAATTTTTTATGAGAAGACGTAGAACTATATTCATTGGCATGGGAAAATGTCCACATTATATTAAGTAAAAAAGGCAATTTCTCCACTTTCTCCCAGTTTTACGTGTGTGTGTGTGTGTGTGTGTGCGCGCGTGCGCGCCTATAAATGTATAAATGCATAGGGAAAAGTCTAAGGGATATACAGTGAAATTTTCACAGCCTTTTTCTCTCAGCAGTAGAATTACAGGGAATTTCCACTTCTTTATATTTTTCTGATTATCTGATTTTTTTTACAATGAAAATATTTTACTTTAGGAATTGTTCCCAGACCAAACTGAGGGCCGGGCTGCTATTTCTCATGGCCCAATAATGAAATGCAGATAAACTAGGGAGGAAGAGAGTTTTTATTTCTGCAACCTGTAACAGGGAGAAGGCCTGGAAATGATCACCAGACCAACTCAAAATTACCAAGTTTTCCAGAGCTTATATACCTTCTAAGCTACATGTCTACATGTAAGTGTGCATTCATCTCAAGACATAAGTGATTAACTTCTTTTAAGCTACCACTAAGGTCTGAGTCCTAAAGACCTTCCTCTGGAGCCTCAGTAAATTTACTTAATCTGAATAGGCCCAGGTGCTGGAGTAATTGTCCTTATCTTGTCTCCTGCTAAATCACAGAGGTTTAGGGAGTTCTTTCAGACCCCCAATAAACTTTTGTGGAGGCCTGGGGAGTTTCTTCACATCCACAATAAAACTTGTTTAACCCTAACTGGGTCCTGTTAAGGATTCCTTCATTATTTTGTCACGCTTTAAGGCCCAGGAAAGGCCTAGGCAAAACTCTGGATGGGCTTTTGTTACATCCCAGCCTTTGTATAAGGGCACTGGCTTTTAACTTAACCACTTGGTCAGTGCTGAAATCGTTGTTGTGGAGGCCTGCATTAGTGAGACCTGGCGTGCTCCAGAATCAGAAAAAAAACTTAAGACAATTTATATTGAGAAGAATAAAAGCAAGAAAGATGAAGTTTAAGCAAAGAAATTCTAGGTTTGGAAACTTCTGGGTTTTGCTGCTGAATTTATTCAGCCTATTAACTTTTTTTAATATCTCTTAAAGCATCTCAAAGTAGCTCAAAAGCTTTTTTGTTTGTTTGTTTGTTTGTTTGTTTTTTCTCCTTCACTGAGCAGCAACTCTTTGCAGACATTCATCCCACTAACAATTTAAAGCAGACATCAGCATTCGCATTTCATCCATAAGAAAGCAGTCTGGGACTCATAAGAGAGCAGGACCTGTACCCCAGAGCCTGTTGCAGAGGAAGCCCAAAAAAGCAGCATGCTGTGGCTTCCTGATCTGGGAGAAATATTTGGTGTGAAGTTTATTAAACGGAGGCTAAAGCCAGGCTCTGTTCAAATCCCAGCTCTGTCACCATGGCTGCATCATCTCAGGCAAATTACTTTACCTAGCAGTGATTCAATTTCTAGATGTGTAAAATAAAGATGATGAAGATAGTATCTACCTTAATAGCCTACTGCCACAGATGAGTGTATGTAAGGTGGAACACTGGAAGTACTCCACGTTTGCTGTTACGTTTCCATTTCCCACGTGGGTCCCAGTCTCCCCATCCCCAATAGCATGGATTGCACCAGGGCTTCACCACAGCCACATCGGCCTATTAACTTCCAATTATTACAAAGGCCCTGCTCTAATGGCAAGTGCTAAAGGGGAGTTGCTCCCGTAGTTCTGACCCCTCCTCCCCTCAGCTACTTGTCCTAAGCATAAAATGTAAACGTTCACGTTCTAAACACTCATTAACTAACATGCAGGTCACAAGGGTGCTGAGCTGGTGGAGTGAGAACTCAAACCCATATTCTACCTGGCTCTCCTAAACCTGCCATGTACTTTCTACTGCTGATAATATGTAAAGAGGTAAAAGTATATTTATACTAGCAGGCTTACCAGGTCAATGGAGATGAAACTTAACATGTCTGATGTCTTCTAGCACGCATCTGGTTCTGGGCTCATTTTTGTTCTTTGTGGCACTTTTAATCTTGCAGAAGGCATACTTGTGGAATTTCCAGACAAAGATTCTTGTTCTCCAAAAATATAATAAAGAAGTGGATCTGAAAAAAAAAAAAAAAGCCAAATTATCTTTTAAAAATGAAAGCAGCCCCATACCCACTGCCTGAACTTCAGTGAAGGCAGTTACATGTACACATTTTATCATTGTTGCTCATTTACCCTCACCAGGGAATATCTTCCGGTGCACCGTAGGGTCACATTTTGAAAATCTGACCCTAAACATTTTCACATTGTGAATTAGACTTCAAAGGAGATTTTGATTCATGTTTTGTGTTCTTAAAAACTTGGTACACCTTACTGATTACTGGGGAAAAAATTCTAGTTTCGCTTAGTCACACTGATATCCCAATAGTGTTTATGGGTACTTGTTATATCATATAGTGGCCACAGCTTTTGAAACAAATATCAGGACATTTGGTTTGACAGTCAGGAGTATATTTATGGGGACAGAATAGTTAGCCAACCAGAAAATCCAGGCCACATGCATGCCATTAACTATATATAAAGAATGATCTGCATGAATAATATATAGATGTACAGGCTGGCTAGTATCTTTATACCAGCCAATGTACATGAACAGTCTTTCAGAGGTCAACTCATTGAGCTGCTATGTTGATTTTGTTCTTCTTTCCAATTGCTTATTTAATTGATATCAACTATCTTCATTAGGTTAGTTAATCTGACAAAGTGATCACGTATCCTTATGTTAGCTGTTCTCTAAAACAAATATAAAATTATTTGTTAAAATGTTTGAACTCTGCTAAAAGACTCATGAGAACTATTATATGAATAAACCATTAGGTAGACAATTGTGATTAGGGCAATATTGTACTAATTGCTAATGGATAAAATCATGATGCTCATCAGACACATCTTAAAATTATACACATATTTTAATGAAAATCAATAGGCTTATGTATGTGATGACCCATTTCTCTAAACAGTAGTGCAAATTTGCAAAAGAGCAGATGAACCCTATCCAGATGTGAACTAGAGAACCATAATAATGAAAAGGACCTACATTCTAAGGCTGTTCTGTGGGTTCAATGAAGTTATATTTTTAATGTGCTTAAAACAGTGTCTGGCACATAGTAAATGCTATACAACTACTGTTAGCAGTGTTGGCTTTAAGATAGAATTGTTAACTTTCTTTTCAAAAGTCTTTTGAAAAACTTGTCAGAAGTTTTATTTAAAGTTTATTTTTTGATTTAAAACATTTTTCTGCTTTTCAAATGTAAAACCTGTGAATTAATCATCATGGATTAAAACTCACAACCTATTCGTACTTATTTGTGGGCTTTTTTCTTTTTCTACAACTGTGTGGGTGATGGCCTGGAACCAAATCTCTGCCTAAACATGATGTGCTATTCCCTCTTATTTTGACCAATCTGACCCGTCAAGACACGACAAATATGCCTACACAGCTATACTACGTTCCTAAATATGGACTCTGAGCAAACATGACAAATATATGAAACCCTGAGTACATAAAACATTTTAAGTAAGTCTGCTTAATTACAATATAAACAAGCTCTCCACTGCACTAAATGAGTCATTGGTTCTCCCAGATGGTCTGAATAGAGTTCAAGTGACATTAAGAGAAAACAAAGTATGTCCTCAGATATTCACGGAGCTGAAGAGGATGGAGCGACACGGGGAGGTATAGTTCAGCATGTCCCATGCCGGGGGAGGACTGTAAGATCCTGTCTGATAAACCAGTCAGGTGTAGCCTTACAGAAAAGTCTATTCCATAAGGGCCTAACAATTCTTACAGGAAAGGACTTACAAGAAAGGAACAGTGAGACAACCTCGAGTTGGTAGAAAAGCCAAGTGCCATGTTATAAAAAGTGTATCTCCAAACCTTAATCTGTGTCCAAATTTTATGTGGGCGTATGAGTGTGTGGGTGAAGGGGGGAAAATCAAAGAAAAGTGAATATTACAAATGCTGTTCTACCAAGCACTGTGAAAGACTGAGACATGAGGTTCTCCGTTTCCGTACATCCCTAACAAATTTAACATGAGGAAGTGGGGTCTCTTATTCCGCCTCTCCACAGAATATCATCCACTTGGGCAGCCTGAAGCGTCTGTACCAGGAGGAGGGGTAGCTCCTGGCAGATGCAAGGGAGAAATCATGAGGCAGCCTGTGATGTGCAGGACAGCACATTTAGCAAGACCAGGCAGAAGGACCCAGAAAAGTGGTCATGACCAGTAGACGAGCCTAGAAGAAGAGAGGTGAAGTCAGCTGGACTCCTGGGTCACCTGGGGACTTGAAAAACTTTTCTGTCTTACAAGAGGTTTGTAAAATACACCAGTCAGTGCACTGTAAAAACGCACCAATCAGTGCTCTGTGGTTAGCTAGAGGTTTGTAAAATGCACCAATCAGTGCTCTGTAAAAACGCACCACTCAGCGCTCTGTGGCTAGCTACAGGTTTGTAAAATGGACCAATCAGCACTCTGTAAAGTGGACCAATCAGCACTCTGTAAAATGGACCAATCAGCAGGACATGGGCAGGGACAAAGGAATTAAAGCCGGCCAGCCCAGCCAGCAGCAGCAACCCACTCGGGTCCCCCTCCACACCGTGGAAGCTTTGTTCTTTCACTCTTCACAATAAATCTTGCTGCTGCTCACTCTTGAAGGTGGCACACCTTAAAGAGCTGTAACACTCACAGCGAAGGTCCGCAGCTTCATTCTTGAAGTCAGCAAGACCACGAACCCATTGGAAGGAACCAACTCCAGACACAGAATGACTCAAGAGAACAGAAGAGACATTGACACAGCATTGTCAGAGGATGAAGATCCTGCTTCACCCAGTAGAACAATAGCCAGGAGAGGAGTTCAGCAGTAGGTTCAAGCGAGTAAAAGAATCAGTGAACTGGAAGATAGGATAGTTGGAATTATTGAGTCTGAAAAACAGAAAGAAAAAAATGAAGAAAAGTGAAAAGTGAACATATGCAGATAATATATTGAATACGCATCATAATCTGTTCTTGCATTTAAATATGTGCATACAAATATTTTTTGCACTAAATTCTCAAAAATTAATAGGATTTCAAAAATGCAGTCATCAAAGGGTCACTTTTTACAACACCTGTTGAATAATTAATAACATTCCACAAAACATGTTTGTTCAGTGCCTACTATGTTATTATTATACAGTGGAGAGGCAAAGGTGAATACCACAGAGAGATCAAAGTCCAATGAGTGGGGCCAGGGCAGGGCTATGAGTATGTGACCTGGGCAGTCTCACACAGTGCTTGCTTTAATTCTCTACGTCATTGTCCTAAAATTCTTAATAATTTTTGAACAAGGGCTCTGCAGTTTCATTGTGCACTGCAGCCCCACAAGTTACATAGCCAGTCCTGCAGGACACATGAATATGAAGAAAGAGAGAGTGCAAATAAAGACACAAACACTGGGACGCCCCAGCCAGGGTGGGGTGCAGCTTGAGGTCAAGGCGTATTTCCTGGAGCAAGGTAATTGTTGAAAAGCAATAAGAATTAGCCAAAGCTGTGAGATTCTCTCTAGTTTGAATATTCACTCATTGAGGGTTTAACTGTTTTTTAAGATTAAACACACATCTTTGTACATGTGCATAATATTGTTGAAAAAATTATACCAAACATGAAAACAAGGCAAAAGGATCTTCAGGCCTTTGGGATTATCCTAGAGGATTCCTTGCAGGCTACCTACAGGGTATCTGACTTGCGTCTCTAGAGCAGGGACCAGCAAATTTTTTCTGTAGAGGGCCAGATAGTAAATATTTTTGGCTGTGTGGGACATATGGTCCCTGTTGCTACTACTCACCTCTGCCACACTAGCATAAAAGCGGCCACAGGTGATGCACAGATGAATAGGCGTGCTGTGTTCCTGGGCTCCACAGAGCAGGCTGGGGCTCCAGCTCTCAACTGCCAATCCTGCTCCAGGGCATGTAACTTCACTTTGACTCCTCATTTACAATTGATAAAGCCCCAGACTGGGTAAAGTTAGATGTTACCTTGTAGATTGATAAATAGCAAGTGATTTCTAACTGGTAGAGACCATAACCCCAAAACTTACAGCTTTATTGCCCAGGAGGATAGGAAGCAGTTTTTTATTAACTATTTTGTATTAACTTTGTGTGATCCTATCCCAGCAATCTTTCCTCCTCACTACATATGTATGTATGTACGTGTAGCTATAGATATGGATATAGATAGATATAAATAACAATATAGATATCAGCTTCTTATATCTGCCTTTATATCCCCTTTGTCATTCTTCTGGTACCCTCATTAATTAGCTAAATCTTTTACATACACTTACTCTATATTTGTATGAAAATTGTGTTTTTAAGCTTTTTCATTTTTTAATTTTTTTAGAGACAGGGTCTTGTTCTGTTGCCCAGGCTGGAGTGCAGTGATGCAATCACAACTTACTATAACCGCTAATTCCTAGGCTCATGCCATCCTCCTGCCTCAGCCTCTCAAGTAGCTGGAACTACAGGTGTGTGTCACCATGCCCACCATGCCCACCATGCGTGGCTAATTTTTTTTTTTTTTTTGTAGAGACAGGGTCTGGCTATGTTGCCCAGACTTGTCTTGAACTCCTGGCCACAAGTGATCCTCCTGCCTCACCTCAAAAAACGCTGGGATTACAGGCATGAGCCACTCTGCCAGCCTTTTAACTTTTTAAAATATCAACAGTGCATCTTGTCAGCACATATGAAAAGTGGCATAGACGGACAGAAAATTAATGAAGAGCTTTAACAGGTAATGCTGCAAATGTGATTCTCTCTAAAGTAAATGCAGCTCATCTCAACGGCCTGAATGACTCTGCCCCAATACAGAAACCTCACAATCTGCCTTATTTTTACATGCAAACCATCTTCAGGAGAGAGATCTAGAGAAAAGTTACCCTGCTCCTCCATCAGCCCCAGTCTCACCTCCTCTAAGCCAAGAACCTGGAAGGCCAAGCCCTCCCCTCCCTCGCCCTGAATTCCTCCATGCTGTCCTGACATAGGAGCAACGAAACCCTTTCTTCTCAATTTCTCTAAGATGCAGTTAGAATCCTCAAAGTAACAGTTTACTGCTGGATGCAGTGGCTCACACCTGTAATACCAGCACTTTGGAAGGCTGAAGCAAGAGAATCGCTTGAGCCCAGGAGTTTGAGACTATCCTGGGCAATGTGATGAAATCTTGTCTCTACAAGAAATTTAAAAATTAGCCCAATATGGTGGCATGTGCCTGTGGTCCCAGCTACTTGGGAGGCTGAGGCAGGAGGATCACCTGACCCCAGGAGGTTGAGGCTGCAGTGAGCCATGTTCATGTACCGCACTCCAGCCTAAATGACAGAACAAGACCCTGTCTCAAAAACAAAAACAATAAAACCAAGTAATGGTTTACTCTAAAGCCAGAAGAAAACAAAGGCATAAAAGCAGATTCCCTGCAGAGTTCAATGCCGCCAGTCCGAGCTCCTTGCACGTGGGCTGACACTCTACAGGGACAGGTACAAGGGCCAAGAGCAAAAGAAGGTAGCCCTGATGCGCATGGCTACACTGGGCCAGGCTACTGCCTCGTGTCTGTAAGTGCTCTTTTGTAGAAGAAAGTGAGTGTGAGGATTTTAGAACATGTATTTAGATAAGCCAGAGGCATAAACTACTTTGGACAATGGAGGCAGAGCCAGGGATCTACAGGCTTTGGGAATGGGATGCTTGCTGACCCGACGGTTCCCCCTCCCCACTTCGGTACTCTCCATCCATTAGCCCACCACAATATACTCCTGTGCATTTGAACTCTATCAAAAAACATATGTCAAATAATAAATGAATTGGGAGGAAAGAATATAAATGAGTTTTGCAGCATATTCACTAATTGCTTTCATTTTATAGAGTCTCCACAGCTTTCCAACATGATTCACTTTAACAAATAGGTGAAGAAAAATAAAAAATAAAAGTTTTTTTTTTGTTTTGTTTTGATTTTGAGGTACAGTCTTGCTCTGTCACCCAGGCTGGAGTGCAGCGGCTCACTGAAGCCTCCGCCTCCAGGGTTCAAGTGATTCTTCTGCCTCAGCTTCCTGAGTAGCTGGGATTACAGGCGCCCACCACCACACCTGGCTGATTTTTGTATTTTTAGTAGAGACGGGATTTCACCATCTTGAACATGCTGGTCTTGAACTCCTGACCTCGTGATCCACCTGCCTCGGCCTCCCAAAGTGCCGGGATTACAGGTGTGAGCCACCATGCCTGACCAGAAAAGATTTTTTTTTTTTTGAAGGGACAGACATCTTCATGTTTACTGTCACCCGTGGTACTTCCTATATGGACCAATTTAAATCAGAGTCCTTACCATTGCTCTGTACCTTTAAATCCCACCCCCCCCCCAAAGTCATCTCACAAACATAAAATGAGGCTCTCTGTCCTTAATTATTTTGTTCCAGATTTGTTACAACCCAGCTCACTTGCCCTACTTAAAATGCTTCTTGTCTGGGTGTTTCTATGAGCTTATCTGCAAGCGTTCCTCTCAACTGACAGCACAGCAGTGAAGAATTTCAAATTAGTGACAAAACACAGTTGAAAAGGCAAAACTGCAGTCTCCCAATGGGGAAAAAAAAGCCATCTACATCTACTCAGGTGGTTTGTTAAAATTCTATTTGTCTTTGAAATAATTTCTCTTTGGAATAATACACAATATATAGTGTATTCAAAAGGTATTTTAAATGCATTCATAGATATGTGAACATATATTTTATAAATATATAAATTATATGTGTATAATGTGTGTGCATATTATATAAAGTCCAGTCCGCTACAACATCCACTATGTCCTCTCACCATCAGAATGATGCCCAGTGCTCTGAACCATGAGTGAGTGACAGATCGTATGGACACACTTGGTCAGTGGCGATTTACACCCCCTACTGAGCACTCTCTCAAGCGGTGAGCACTGTAAGTTGTGCGTGTTCTGTCATGCATGTTGTTTACTTTCCTGTGTCTCTTTTTCTTCCATGTGTTTGTATTATGGTGAGTGATTTTTATCCACTCTGGCTGATCAAACCTGTATAGGTCATTCAAGATATGGAAATGCAAATTTTATGGCAACTGAAGGAGTTTTCAAGAAAATGGTCAAGAAGACATTAGGAAACAGGGTCCCAAAACCCATTAAGGTCTCACCAAGGTTTTTTTCTATTTAGTCAAAACCAAGATTTAACTTTTATCAAAAAATCAAAAGACTGTAAGCAGATGTGTTTTCCAAATCAGATACTCTCAGTACTGGATCAAAATAGAAAAAAGTTTTTCCCACATTGGGGACTGCAAAGAAAGGTATCTATGCAATTGCCAACTACAGTTCTAATTTAAGATACTCTGTGTGTGTGAAGTCACAGAATTTTTCCTTGATTAGCTCAATCTGATTACCAAATCCTCACGACCTGTGCACACTTTGCTCTGTGATTGCAACCTTGTGCAGCTTGTGCTGGGTAATATCTTTTTGGCATGATGTGTGCGCTGGACTTGCTCACTGAGTTAATCAACAATTGTGTTTTAATATTTTCCACTTATTGAATTTGGATTTCAGAACACAGTTTACCTCTAGATACGTGCATGCTCTAGCAAATCATCAAACTTGAAGTAAATATTACTCTTCTCCTTTCTAATTGCTTACTTAGCAACTTTCTCTTCTTACACCAAGGGTAATTTGCACAGAAAATTTGCATTTAAAATGCACATCAAAATATTTCATAAAGAGCCAGCATTATGATTCACTAAAGTTTTCTTTCTCCCCTTTTGATGAAGAAAACAAGACAAACACCCGTTCACTTCTGGACTAGAGATGATCAGCCAGCACAGCCTTGCTACTAAAAGATTAACTGAGCCTGATTGTTTAGAGAGTCTCTCAAGATCATTAACAATGTTCTCTTTGACCAAGTTTTTTTCTCTTACCCTATTTCATGGGTCTCCTCTGAAGCACTGGACACTATTGGAATCTCCCATTCCCTCTACTTCCCGGACTCTGCCATGTTCTGGTCCCCTCTGACATCCTCATATGCTCCTTCTCAGCATTTCCGCATGAGATGCTTCTTTCTTCTGTTGGCATCTTAAATCCAGATGCTCCCTGAAAGAGAGCACATTAATGGCCCAGTTATTCACCCCACCCTTTATCCATACTCTTTGCCATATGACTTTGAAGTTCCTCTCACTGAAGAAGAGGAATGTGACTTTGAAGTTCCTCTCACTGAAAAACAGGAGTATATTTCCCTGATCCTCAACTTCGGGTTCAGGCATGTGACTTCTTTTGACAAATGGAAGGTTAGTGGGCATGACATGATCAAATGCTCTCTTGAGTGACTGTGCTTGCCCTCTTCTGCCTCTGCCATTGCCATGAGAAGAACATGCCCAGACTAGCCCATTGAATCCAGAAAAGTCAACCTTCTAGTGGCAAGAAAAGGATGAGAGGCACCAGAAGCAGAGCTCAGTCAGCATCAGCTGACTGCAGATTCACGGAACATAAACGATTGCTGCTCTAAGTCACTGTCATGAGGTGGTTTGTTATGCAGCATTGTTGGGGGCATAACTAACTGACAGACTCTCTGAGAGTCTGTTGTCCTTGCTTACCAAACTTGGCTAATTCCTGATGGCTTAGAGGCTAAACTGACCTATCACATTGTATGGAGCACTCTTCATGCAACTAACTACGTCTTAGGAAAAGACTCCGTTTTACATTTTGTAGGGCACCTTGCCAACAAGGATAAGATATTTTGACAAAAAAATAAAAAATAAAGACTGCATTCCACCACATAAAGACACAAACAAGTACACGCTTCCACCATCAGTTCTCCCCAGAGGACTCCGTGACATCAAGGAGCTGGCCTTTAGCAGCTATAATCAGCCATCTTAACTGACAACTGTCCCGCTGTCACTCATGGTAAGAACTTGGCATTTGCCTTCCACATCAAAGACTTTCCTGCAAGACCAACCGGCCCAAACCAAGACTACTTTTGTCTTCTTTGCTCTCCCTAGACTGGTTCATTAACCCTTTCTCCTATTTCTTTTTCTCTTGATGTTAAATGTTTATTATGTAATGTTTAATCTATAACACTTACACATTGATTAAGTGTACTATTATGTATGGTTTGAAATATTGGCTGATTTGTGGCATGGCTTGAACCTGTGTGACCACGGCTATGACTGCTGAGTGAACAAAGAGTGCTAAGGAGAATTGCCTCCTTGGGAACTCCATGTAGCTCATGGTTTTTGCAATTGAAATAGCATCAGTAAAGATCTGACACTGTGGAAAGACACAAACATGCATGGACCTGCTATCTCTAACCTTGTACTGCTCATGACATATAATAATAAATAATAAAATTGAATAATAAATAATAAATAAAATTATTACTAATAGATAAAAGTAACTAATAATAATACATGATAAATAAATAAGAGCTAGCATTTTTTAAGCTCCCACTACGTTTAAGGGTCATGCTAAGAGCTTTATATGTGTAATGTCTAAAACTTATGATTTTCCAAAAAGAGCAGATACAATTATGCCCAATTATAAAAGAGAAAACTGAGACTCGGTGAGGTAATGTGACTTGCCCAGGTTCTCCAACTAAGGAAAGGCTCCCCAGCATGTGTACCAGGTCTGTCTCACTTCCACACAGCAGGGCAAACTCTGAAAGCCACTTATTCCCTAAATTCAACCACAGCAGCTTTACCTTTGTCTGCTTTCTCTGTTGGCATTTCACATATTTTGTTTTTAACCTAAGTGTCTCATTATTAAAAAGGAAACTTTGAAAACCACTGCCATACTCCATGCTGATGTGACCTCTACTTTGTGACTTCTGACTTCTACCACAGCCAACCATGGACTGTGGGGGTCATGAAACATCGACAAAGTCATCTTGAACCAAAGGCCCTGCCCCTGGAGTTCAGTCATGCCACACAGCCTGTACCCACCCTGACAAAGATGGCACCTCTGATCTCATGGCAGCCTTTGATTCTGGAAAGATGTTTTGAAACTTCAGGAGTCTAAGCCCCTTGGTCCACAGAAACAGAGGACACACTCTGGGTGTCTAACCACTTCCCTGTAACTGCACTTCCTTGTAACTGTTTTTTTATGAATAGTGGGTGATGTGCAGGAATTGGTTTCCCATAGTGAAGTCCCCCTGTACCAGGCACAGTTCAATCAGAGAAACAGAAACCACTGTTTCCAGCAGAAAGTGATTTCATATCAGAAGTTGGGTGTTTTCAGACTATTGAAAGGAAGATAGAATGACAGGAGGCAGATGAGTTGTTGCCTGGGCCAGGATTGGGGGCGGATTGATTGCCAAGGGGCACAGGGAAACTTAATATGATGGTGCTTGCCTGATTGTACATATCTCTCAAAACTCATCAAACCAGGCCAAGCACAGTGGCTCATGCCCATAATCCCAGCACTTTGGGAGGCCACGGTGGGAGGATCACTTGAGGCAAAAAAATCAAGACCAGACTGAGCAACACAAGACTCTGTCTCTACAAAAAAATGAAAAACAAAAATTATGCAAACATGGTGGCACACACCTGTAGTCCCAGCTACTCTGGAGGCTGAAGTAGAAGGATCACTTTAACCAGGGAGTTCAAGGCTGAAATGAGCTATGATCACACCACTGCACACCAGCCTGGGTGATAGAGACTCTATCTCTTAAAAATATATATATATATTGGCTGGACATGGTGGCTCATGCCTATAATCCCAGCACTTTGGGAGGCCAAAGTGGGTGTGCTTTCGTTCAGGCTTTGTTGTTCCATTTATAGAGCACAGGCAAAGTAGATTTAGCTTAATTCTTAAGGACCCTAGGATTTTCAGAATGGTAAATGAGCATTGACTTATGGTCACCAGCTACATTAGTCCCTAACAAATGAGTCAGCCCATCCTGGGAAGCTTTGAAGCAGGCATTGACTTCTCCTCTCCAGCTATGAAAGTCTTAGATTACATCTTCTTTAAATAGAAGGCTGTTTTATCTACATTGGAAATCTGTTTTATGTACCCACCTTCATCAGTGATCTTAGTCAGACATTCTGGATAACTTGCTGCAGCTTCTATGTCAGCATTTGCTGCCTCATCTTGCACTTTTATGTTAAGATGGCTTCTTTCCTAAACCTCATGAACCAACTTCTGCTGGCTTCCAACTTTCCTTCTACAGCTTCTGCACCTCTGTCAGCCTTCATAGAATTGAAAAGTTGGGGCTTCACTCTGGATTAGACTTTGGCTTAGAAGAATGTTGGGACTGGTTTGATCTTCTATCCAGACAACTACAACTTTCTCCATATCAGCAATAAGGCTGTTTTGCTTTCTTCTCATTGATGTGTTCACTGGAGTAGCACTTCTAATTTTCTTCAAGAATTTTCCTTTGCATTCACAACTTACCTAACTGTTACATGCAAGAGGCCTAGCTTTTATTGTGTCTTGGCTTTTGACATGCCTTCTTCACTAAGATTAATCATTTCTAACTTTTGATTTAAAATGAGAGACATGTGACTCTTTCACTAGAACTCTTAGAGGCCATTGTAGGGTTACTAATTGGCCTAATTTCAATATTGTTGTATCTCAGGAAATTGGGAGGCCCAAGGAGACATAGAGAAACAGAGACAGAGGAAAAAATGGTTGTAAAGCAGTCAGAACACATACATTTATTGGTTAAGTTTGCCATCTTATATGGGCATGGTTCACAGTGCCCCAAAACAATTACAAAGGTAATATCAAAGATCCATGATCACATATCATCATAACAGATACAATAATAAGTGAATTATTGGGAGAATTTCCAAACTGTGATACAGAGACACAAAGTGAGCGCCTCCTGGTGGAAAAATGGCACCAGAATTACTTGAGTCCTGGAGTTCAAGACCAGCCTGGGCAACATGGCAAGACCCTGTCTCAAATAAATGGCACCAATAGACTTGCTCAACACAGCATTGCCACAAACGTTCAATTTGGGGGGGGGGAAGCAATACCTGCAAAGTACAATAAAACAAAGTTTCAATAAAACAAGATATGCCTGCATACAGGAACACCTAAGAGCACAGTCCGAGAGAAGGACTTATATGCAGTAGTCTATTTGGGGGATGCATTCATTTTCTATTGCTGCTGTAAAAAATTCCTGCAAGCATAGTGGCATTTTGTTAGAATAGCCCTGTGAAAATAAGATATGGAGGTAAAATCAAGGTGTTGACAGTGCTGCATTCCTTTTGGAGGATTTAGGGAAGAATTCATCCCTTGCCTTTTTCAGCTTTGGTTGCTTGCATTCCTTGGCTCATGGCTGCATCACTCTGACCTCTGTTTCTATTGTCACATCTCTTTCTCTGACACTCCTGCCTCCTTCTTAAATGGACTCTTGTGATTACATAGGACCAACCTGGATAATCCATATCCCTAACTTAGTCACATCTGAAAAATCCCTTTGCCACATTAAGATAACATATTCACAGGTCCTGAGGATTTGTATGAGGACACATTTTAGGGATCCGTTATTCTCCCTTCCGCACAAGGTGATTATGAAAGGTCACAACTGGGAACAGATTGATTCTGCCAAAAGCTCCCAATCCACACACTGAGAGCTTCCAGAATAGCCCATCTGAGCAAAGGGCTGCTGGAGCATTTATTTTCAGGCTTCCACCTCCTTTGAGAGCTGGTTCTAGGAGCACTGACCTCTCCTCACTGCTGGGCTGTTTTCATGCTGGTTGAATGGTGACATGGTTTGTATCTATGTCCCCACACAAATCTCACGTTGAATTGTAATCCCCATTGTTGAAGGTGGGGGCTGTGGGAGGTGACTGGATCATCGGGTGGTTTCTCATGAATGGTTTAGCACCATCTCCCTTGGTGCTGTTCTCACTACAGTGAGTTCTCACAAGATCTGGTTGTTTAAAATTGTGTAGCACCTCCCCACTCTCTGTCTTGCCCCTGCTCCCAGCCATGTGAAGTGCTGGCCCCCTACTTTGCCTTCCACCATGACTGTAAGTTTCCTGAGGGCTCCCCAGAAGCCAAGCAGATGCCAGCATCATGCTTCCTGTACAGCCTACAGAACCATGAGCAATTAAACCTTTTTTCTTTATAAATTACCCAGTCTCAGG